TTGTATTACATAAATAGCAAAACCCCATCCAGCCCAGCCTAATCATTTCGGACGATAATGTTCAATAAATTAACAACTAACATAATTTATAAAGAATTAGTTTTCAGCGAAAACTTAATTGTTCACTCAGGCATATGGAAAATTTTAAGGATATTCCAGGAACAAATATAAAACAGGCTGATCGAGAGGGATATAACACACATTCAAGCGAGTATATATCCGTTGGTTGTAACCGTTCAACGCTGTATTAGCTTTAGGCAAAATTCATCAGTTGTAGCATCAGCTTACATATACTTAAATATACACAAAATAAATATTAATTATTTATAATAACGAAAAAGACTATTAAAATCATGTTAATGATCAATAAACAGCATCTAGTGTTGGCATACGGGCTTGATAGGATTTGATATCTTGTATGCTTGGCGCCTTTTTCCACATAAACAGCAACGACACAGTAATCTTATGGTCTCCATTCTGGACTGGCTATGCTTAAGATCGCTACAGTTGGTACTTTTTAATTGGTTTGCAGTCTGTTTGCGCAGCTGGCTGACTCCTTTCATGTTCTCACCAAATTAATTCAATTAATTCGATGAAATTGTCTTTTAATTGAACACGATCGCGTTTCGTCACAGAGAAAAGCCGTTTTTCAAGATCTGCAAATATATAACAGACTAACGGTCAAAATATATAAGCGACATATCCGATCAGTTGTAATGAAATCCACATCTTACTCCGATGCAGTTGAAATACATGCTAAATGGGATGCTAATTTGAAATAAACTTGAATTGATCGTTCCATAATGCACTTCCGCTTGAATATTTTCGAAGTTGGTTTCTTCTGTCTTTTTGGGAACCTCGCTGTCCCGAAAACATTGTACCCAAATGGTGAATGTGACTGATCCGATCACAATGATGACGACTTGGATGGGGGCACCATTGTGGCACAATGACATTTTATCTCGGAATATGCAACAGCAGCACGTTCTCTGAAGCGGAGAGTGTAATAGATCAGCGACGGAATCTCGATTCTGAATCCGAAAACTACCGATGCGTGGCCCATGCAAATGTTCTTGCAGCGACATCGGTGTGGGTGCATCCCACACACATCTCCCGTCAATGCACTGCAACAAATTTGATCAATAAGCTTCAGTTTCAGTGAAATCTTTGGCATAGCCAACATAGCAAAGCCTGCTATTATACATTATTAAGTAAGATCGAGATCGGAAAAGTAAACCATATATTGTGCAATGGTATGGGATTTCTAGTAGTGCATAGAGTTTTCTCGCTGTGTACCGATGTGGGAGAAATCCCCTTGGCGGCGACCAATCAACCGGCATCGGCATGCCTTATACACAAGTGCTGGGTGCTGTCCAGCGGCAGCGGCTTCTTCATCGTCGCCCCGGACTCGGGCATCTTCCATTGTCCGTCCGCCGCTCGGGGCTCCACTGTACATGTGCGCGTGTGGTGGTGCAGTATGTGCGACTCAGGGGACGCCAACTGTGGCTTCAGCTCAGCTCAAAGCGATCAGTTCAAAGTTGACTTCGTCGCGGACCAGATCGGACCGTTCTAATTCCGACACGCGACCGTGAATTATAGAATTACCAAATCACAGTGTAATTTCATTTAAGAAACAGAAATAGCATAGAAGCTAAGTGAGAACAAAATGACACCCCATATGTGCTCGGCTTTGGGGCTTTTCTTGGGGGGCCTGCTCCTTGGCCAAGTGCAAGCCGAACTGGATTTTAACAACGATCTCGAAAACAGCCAGAAGTTCAAGAGCATACCCACCACAGTGAAAACCTATGAGAACGACACAGTGCAGCTTCCGTGCACCTTAAACAGTAAGTGATTCACTAAACGTGGTACTAATCGTAGTGCATATTGTGGGTTTCTGGCGATTAGCCCCGCTTTTGGGGCCTTGAAGCGGCACCCAGCAGCAATTGGCCATAACAATGAGATTTAATTCGATTGAAGAAATGAACTCACAATGCCGCAAATGGAGGTATTATCCGACAATAATAGTGCTCTGCTGGAGAAAGTCCAGAAGCGGATTCTATTAATTGAACGCTTAACACACTTAGCGGCGCATTCAAGTCGCTGTGGAAGACCCTCCCGAGACATATTGTTAAATGGCCAATTAAAGGATTATTGACAGAAGCAATTGCATTTTCAAAGGGTTACAAGATTACACAAACCTACACAAATTGCTGTGTGCGGGAAACCCCATAAATAGACCAGTTAACTTCTTGTGGAAATCCACCCCATGCAGAAATGCTTAACTTAACCTTTAAGTTTTAAGGATCATTTTGAAGTAGCCATAATTAATCTGCAAATTTCACTAGAACTCCTGTGTTGAAATTTGAATAAGCAAAAAACTTAAATACAGTGGATACTTGTTATTCAATATTGACGACCTGTGCAATCAGTTTGGGCTTCGGGCGGAAGCTTTTGTTTACTGTATGAATTTTTATTTATCTGAGCAGTAAGATAACCGCGATAACTTTAGGATAAGAGATACAATTCTGCTGAATTCAGATTGTTTGTCCTGTTCCCTTGAGTGAGTATTTTTAAGATACAAAAAGAACTTCTAGAAAGCCCCACAAAAAGTAAAATAAATTCCCTTTAGAATGCGCACAGAAATAATATTAGGTAAATTAATCCAAATATGTAAAACAACTTTCCCAGCTCCCTTTCGCTACGTCCGCTGGCATCGGGACGACGTGGCGCTGGTGGACTCCAGACACCCGGAGCTCCCGCCGCCGGATCGCATAATGCTCTGGCCGAATGGCAGCCTGCAGGTGGCCAACGTGCAGTCCAGTGACACCGGCGACTACTACTGCGAAATGAACTCGGACACGGGTCATGTGGTCCAGCAGCACGCCATCGAAGTGCAATTGGCGCCTCAGGTGTTGATTGAACCATCGGATCTCACGGAGCAGCGCATTGGAGCCACCTTCGAGGTGGTGTGCGAGGCCCAGGGAGTTCCGCAGCCGGTCATCACATGGCGCTTGAACGGCAATGTCTTGCAGCCACAGAGCAACACGGGAAACCGGCAAAGTCTCATCCTGGAGATCAAGTCGAGGAACCAGGCGGGCCTCATAGAATGCGTGGCCAGCAATGGAGTGGGTGAGCCAGCCGCGGCCAATGTGTACCTTCATGTGCTATGTGAGTAGTTAACTGTGAAGCCAACTACTCAATTGAATTTTACTTAATGGCCTTCCCGAATCGACAGTTTCGCCCGATGTGAGCATACCTCAGTCGGTGGTGTACACCAAACTGGGCTCCCGTGCCCATCTGGAGTGCATTGTGGAGGCGGCGCCGGCGGCCACGGTCAAGTGGTTCCACCATGGACTGCCGGTGGCACTGGGAGCCCACTCCACCACCCACGAGTCGGAGCTGCAGACGAACCGGTCGGTGGATCATTACGTGAACGCCGTGCGTCACATGCTGGTGGTGAAGAGCGTGAGGAACGCGGATATGGGGCAGTACGAGTGCCGTGCCAGCAATCAGATATCCGTGAAAAGCGGAAGTGTGGAGCTGACCGGGCGCCCGATGCCCTGCCTCTTCAAGATCAACCCGGGCACGCAGAGCTCCACGTCGCATGTCCTCGTTTGGCAGACCGAGAGCCTGCTGCCCATCATGGAGTTCAAGCTCAAGTTCCGACAGATTCCTTCCAAGAATGTCACCCGCCAAGCGAAAAACAACTGGACGGAACTCACGATCCCGGCGCAGGCCACAAATGGTATGGATAGCTATTTGATATTCAACATACACAAGTCATTATCCTACAAATATCTATTTATGCTCAAAACGGCTTATCTAGGACTTATCTATATAACCACATATACTTTACACGGCCTCCAACCCGCTAGTCTCTACGAAGTATCAGTGCTGGCCAGAAACAGCTTTGGTTGGAGCGACAATAGCAAGGTAGTGCGTTTTGCCACAGGTGGGGAAGGTGAGTCAATGCAAATGATATATGGATCCCTTGATTAGATTACCTCTTACTCACCCAGTTGAACTACCCAACTACTCGACTGAATCGGAGCTTCAGGATGACTTGACCGAAGAGGACTTCCACAACGAAATCACCCAGAGATCAGAGGTTCTATCGGCCAGCATGATGTTCAACTCGGGCTCAGTTAATGGGTGCGGAATCAGTGCCCTTATATATTCCTTATATCTTATAAATCTATTACGATTAATAAGTTAGGACTAATTTTAAAGTATACCCACTTCTACTCTAATGCTAATAAAAATATTCAAAAAATTCGTGTTGAATGATGCTTTAGCTCATTATGAATCGCAATGAGAATTTGTGACTATTCACTTCTGGTGAACAAAATGTTAAGATAAGTTTCCTGGGCAGTCTACCAAAGCAACCAGATAATGCTTACTTGTGATTGTGACTATATTTATTTATGACTGCAACAATATATGACGGAATATAATGAATATATCAGGAAGGAATAAATAAAAGTGTACTGAAAATACAAAACAAGCTCATGAGCTATTTTCAAACTTACTGTGATACTATATTTATTTATAGGAACAGGAAGGAATTAATAAAAGTGTACTGAAAATACATTAATAGAAATATAATCATAACAAGCTTATGAGCAATTTTCAAACTTACGAACCTATTAAGGTTAAAATGCAAATTGGCGGCCCCTGTGCGTATGTGTTATATGTATACATGAGAACTTGGTACTTTAAGAAGGAAGTATTTTGCATGGGTGAACCCATGAGCCCCAGCAAACCACGTAAAGGGCACTCTTTGGTATAGGGCTTCCTCTTTGAACTTCAATTGGCAGTGACACTGAGGCAAACGCATCTTTAGGCCCCAAGACTCCCTCTCTCTTACCCTCTCTCTCTCTCCGTCTCTCTGGCTCGCTCTCGCTCTCTACACAAACTCTCTCCGCAAATGGACTGTTATCCAAAGGCCCCAATGCATCGGAGAGCTGTTCCGCTTGCCAATTGTTTCAAAGTGCTTTTAGTCTCCACAGCACGCGCTCGACTTTTAGTTCTCGTTTGAACAGCTTCGCGTTCGGTTCTCCACGCAGCCCCAGCGCAGAAAAAAGGTCTCCATCCACAGCTCCAACCAAACCAAAACCTATTGTCTAGCGCCTAGTGCCCCGCAAAACCCTAGGCTTAAGGCCAATTACCGACAGCTGTAAACGTTTGCATGCGACCTGGCTAAAACGTGTACAAATCGGCGGGCGGGCGAAAGCGTTGCCAACGCGCGAGTGCTTTAAACGTAATTCGTACAAAATCTGGAAAAGCAAAAGGGTAAAGAGGAAGAAACCACTTTTGTACCGCTTCGGCCGAATTTCAACTCATCTCGCGTCGGTATCTGGGGACCAGAAACCAGTTTTCCTCCTCTAGGCTCTCCGGGCAAAATAAATACGAAACAAAACAACAATCTCGAACGCAGCGCACCGCATCCATTCTGTAACTTTGGCCCTGAGATCGTCTTCGGGCCAAAACGACAGGCGATGATTCATGAAAATGGTCTACGAAATGGCCAAAATGGCCAGCAGATGTGCTCCATATCTTCACTTTTATCCTGCTCCTTGGGCTCCCCATTTGGCAGAGATTCAAATTCAAATTCAAATTCGGTTTCAGTTGCAATTCTTCGCTGTCTCGCTCTTTCTTCGCTGGCAGATTCTTCGTTGCACATTCTATAAATATGTAGAAATATGTAAAATAGCTGCCGTTGTGCCGGCAACAGAAATACGCCAAACAACAGAATAAATGGCAAAGGAAAATGGTCAAATGAAAGCGAAAATGCAGGAGGAAAGCGTTGGGGAGCAGCCAGTAAAAGGGAAGCGGCGGGGGGAGGGCATATTAGGTACCAGCTGCTGGGAGCGGAAAGAAAATGGGAATTGCTTACAAAAACGCTGAATGGAAAACTAATTTTCTATACGTATTTACACTAAGAGTAGGCAAAAAAAAACGGGAAGAAACAACAGAAAACTTTTCAGTTCCAATTGGGATGCCCAAAAAGCATTCTACGGATGGAAGACAGCTGCATCTGTGCCTCCCCCCACACACACAAGTGCAGCGGGTGTGTGCGCCTGTGTGTTAACTTTGAGCCCAATGTAAATAAACAAAGCGCCAAAGACAAAAACAACAACAATCAAGGCATTGATTTAAAGAGAAACCAAGTTAAAGAACTCACAAAAAACGGGGAAAAAATTGGACGCAGCAAGCCGAAGCTTAAATGCCCTGAAAGTGGTAGTCTACATAGTTTCAATTTTTTATAAAGAACTGAGTTAAGACTCTACTGCCAAAGGAATGCAGTATTCGATTGAATACAATGTTGCAATTACCACAAAATTAACAATGTATAAGTAAATTCTTCAAGTTTTTTAATAACAGGAATTATATTTACATGGTTCATTAACAGATCAAAATCGCGTTAACGATTTTTCAGCTCAGAAGTTTTCTATGCAGCAGGTGTGCCATTTTAAATACACCATTAAAGAGTATCGAGTAGAACAAGCCTAGTTGCACGCCCTCCCCCCTGTGATTTTTATAATTGATAAACAGACTGGAGGGGCGTAAAGTCCGTTTAGAGGTAGTTAAGGGGCCTTTCGTCGCCGCATGGAGGTGCCAGCGAGCGTTTATCTGTATCTGAGGTGTCGTCTACTCAGGTGACAACCCATAAAATACTGGCTGGGAAAACTCAGCAGCACAAGTGAGTGCGGAAATTCTCACTCATCAGGGAGCTTTTGTTCAGTGGAAAAGAAGCCGGGAAAAAGGGAAATATTTACAAACAGCAGCAGATGGCAGGAAGATGCGTTGAGTTTTCCAAGCAAAAAAATGTTACTTACGTTGCTTAAAAAAGATTTCTGACACACAAATTGTGATTTTTAATACAAACATTTCAGATTCAGTTACTATTTACCTAGATGTGTGAAAACTTTGTGTCAATCTTATGCTCAGAAGAGAATCAATAAGTCGACTGTTTGCCGAGCAAATCTTGCAAAATGCTCAAATTTTTGCGCAAATGCATCAGCGATGGATTATGATCATCGGGCATTGCAAAATTGTTTGTTTTATGAGTCGAGCATATAAACAACTAAGTGCACATATGTGCATATGCAGATTGTTTGTTTGTATGGGTGCGCTATGCCCGCCATTTGCAAAACAGCTTTTATATCAACAGCCCGAATTTTGTGTATTTTTTGGTTTTTGTATCGACTTTTCGCATTTGCACATTAATTTATTTATATGCATAAACATTTGCATGCTGTTCGACTTGGCACACCCTGACCCAACGGAACCCCCAAAGCCCCCACTTCGACCCACTTTACTGGCCAGCTGGCATTGAGTCAGCCCCAAAAGAGAAAAATACAGTCGAGCTTCCTTGAGCCTAGCAAATTAAAGTGGCGAAAATGCACGAGTTTCTAGTAATAAAAGCTATCATAAACGAGAAATTAAATTCTACAAAATATTTCTCAAAAGCTATTTATAGAAAAACGCCTTACAATGCTGTTGATGTTTTTAATTTAAAAAATGTTGTAACAAATATGTAAAGAATTTGTTAATTTCATTTTTCACCGTGCAACATTGAAGATTAGATCAAATTAAAGTTTCAAAATAACCTTTTTAATAGGCAATACATTCTGAAACCAACTTACAGCGTGAACATGCAAGAAAATGCATGTTTTTCCAAAGAATTCGCACTGTACTTCGAGAGAGGTACGCTGTTGTGAGCTGCAAATTAGTAGCTAAACTAGCAAATGGCCATTTTTCGCGTAGAGATCATAATATCTTCAAGATACAACTTATCGACGGAGAGCAAATTGCTACCAGATACAACTGGCGGCTTGCATAACATAATGCGGCCAAGCGAGTGAGCAATGTTTACAGATTGGTCCAATATTTTCTTTACCTGCCATATGTTTTTTTACATTTTTTTGTTTTTTTTTTTTGCAAATAATTCGTTTGTAGTTGGCGCTTTTCCATGCATTTTGTCCAAGGCAATTAGAAATTTCCGGTCCGCGGCGCAACTCGCATACAAAGTGCACGAAATAAACGATAAGCGAAATTACAAAATCATAAAGCCAAAAGTAAATTGTAAAAGTATTTCGGCGGTTTTTGCGGCTCCCAATCGGGAGTAACATAATGGTTTAGCAAATTAATTAAGTACCAACCAACCATATTAATTGCAGCTAACGACCTACCTCCGACAGCTCCGAACCAAATTCCAATCAATAAAACGAACTAAACAAAATCAAACCAGGCAAACACGAATCACCATGATCAAAGCGAAAGATTCGACGAGGCTGCTGCTCATTAGTCTGCTAATTGGACAACTGTACGGTAAGTCAAGGACCCAATCTAATGGCCTATAAAACAAAGAACTAATTCAAAGCAACACGATTCGACTTGATTGCCACCAAAGTGTTTTAATCGAAAGGGGAAACTCCGTGAAAAAGTCGGAGTCGAAAGTTGGAGAGAGTTGTAATGGATGTGTAATATTTTTACGACTACTTGTAGTGATAAGGAGATTCGAAAGTGAAGAGCAGCAAAGTCTTCTAGTTGTACATAAAACTGCTGTTTCAAAACTGGGTTATTGGGTTGATACCATTCAATATTTCCGATTATATTACAAAAGTAATAATATATGAAATATCATCCTGCTGTAGAGTGAACTGTAGTAGTCCATTGAAAACTGAAAGAGTTCTCCACGTTTCAATGAGTTTACGTAATTGCCAGTTATTATGAATTACAGTATTTCAGAAATAAGTATGAGCCATCCAGATACGAGCTCTCACGTCCAAATATGTATGTACGCCCTATCGTATAGCAGTCGTACTCCCCGGAAAGCCCCAGATACGCTCGGTTATAGCTTTCAGGTATATAGGTGTGAGCCACGTGCGTATGGCCTTAAATTGAAGCCACACTGTGGCAGTGGAAAAAAAAACGCATATCTTATCGTCCGGGAGAGCGGCAAACACTTACCTCTGCTCTGGAAATTAAGTTTGCTGATAACGCTCCGCATTCCAATTCTCGTACATACCTCGGCACCTCGGCTGGGAAAGATGGAGTGGGATCCCCACAACTTTCCTCCATGTCTGCAAAAAAGAAAAAATACAAACGACTATCGCCCAGCGAGTTGGATAAATATTTGCAAGAATGCCATTTTAATGAGGAATATTTGCTCGTAAACTTCTCCTATGAGTCGTGAAAACGCCCCCAAGCTCCAGATGTAATCCGATGTCCCAGGGCAGATTCCACCACACACAGATATCTGCATACGTGTTTCGATATTTGCTCTTTAATTAAAAATGAAATTCGGCCAATTTTAGCCATGGGAAAATGCGTATGACCGAAAATACCATTAAAAAACAAACTAAAAGCCACATGCCGCGGGGAATTTGGAACTTTGCCTTCTCGTATATCAAAATTCTAGGTGCTGCGAAATACTCTAGCTAGCTTGTTTGGCCTACAAACACAACTTGCCCAAGTAAATTTGTACAATATTTCATAATACACCCATCCAGCAAAGTAAAATATTTGTTTGTCTGCATGAACATAAATTTAGTTCACCCTTCAGTTATTGCAGAACTGAAGTTGATAAAGACCTGTTCCTAATGGAAGTTCAGTTTATTTATCTAGAAAACATCGGCGAGTCAAGGTCTCCCCTTTTCAATATAATCAAACAGTGTTCCTGGAATTGGCGATTAAGTGTTTGGTTTTGCATACCCATGCAATATGCATATGTACGTGCTTGGCTTTTGTAACGAAATGAAAATGTAACGAAACCGAAAATGATCGAATTACGCATTCGCAGGCATCAGAAACATTCGTTTTCCAAAAATAAAGATCGCATAATAAATCAATGATTGGATCAATAAAAATGCTCCACATGGGTGTGGATCAAGAGACCCCACCCAAAAGTTCCTAAAAGCGGGAAGCCAATTTGCCATTTCAATTGATTTCATTCCATTTTCCATTTATTATGTGTTTTTCGTTATCGTCTGTTTTATTATGCTTTTTGTGTCCCTATGGAAATTTAAATTTTATATGTAGATATGTGCCAACAGTGGAACTTGCCGAAATTGCAATAAACTCCCAAATATGGCCATGTTTTATATACTGATACTGATGCTGAGTTTTTATAAGCTTAAAACCATGAACAAATTGTGTGTATAAATCGCTTAACTTTTTAATGCCGATAAAAATTAAAATATATACTAAAATAAGGGAAATGCAGGATAAAAGCTTCCCGTTAATTTTAATTTAATTTTTAATTTAATTTAAAATTTTATCAAAAGCGTGGGCGTGACAGTTTTGGGCGGTAGAGAGGACGTTGCAAAAAGTTTTTGGCAGATCGATAAAAGTTCACCACAGTAATACAAAAATGAAAAAATATCACATTTTTCAAAAGAAAACGAATTTTCCACTAGGGAGTTCTTTCTTGCGGATTCAAATCGCATGCAAAATATTCTCAGAATTTGAGTATAATTTTTATAAGACAAAATTGGCATGAGCATGAACATCTATCAAGATTCCCCTGTCCAGCATCTGAATCTCACCCAGTTCTGCGAACTTTTACGACCCCCATCACAATCTGACGGCTCCATCGACTTAAGACATGACATGCCGATTCAAGAATGTTTTCCCCCTTTTCTGACGACTCGGCAGAATCTGGGCGATGTTTCCTTTTCGGGATTTGGAAAATTTGGCATCATTTATTTATACACATTTCATTGAGTCAGCAGACGAGGATGTCGATGTGGGCCGCTGTAGATTTGTTTACTTATTGACCTCATAACTTGTCCACGTCTGTTTGCGATGCACTGGCCATATGCGAGACATCTAAATCGGAAATCTTGAACTGAATCTTCAGCTATCTTCGAGTTATCAACGGAGATCTTGAACTGAATCTCAATGGGAGTTATCAGTGGTCGGTCGACTCTACAGACCTACCAACCTTCCTGATATGAGTGGAAAATATATCATATATCAGTGACTGGCGCCTGGTCCCACGAACTTACTAAATATGCAAAATATTTACGCGGAATCTGGGGCAAAGTAATGAAAAAATATTATTGCATACCCAAGGGAATGCAGCTGTGAGTCTCAGTCTCAAATCCTTCAAACCGCTTAAAGTGTTATTTTGTCATAACGAAAAGTATTATTGGTGTCACGATAAAAAGCAAAAACAAAGCCCAATAGTTTGGACAAGTACAAAAATAAAGCAATGACAATACTCACAGTTTTTAAAGCTAACTGGCTATTTTCCCTAGAACTTTAAACATGACTTCATCCGCCGGGGAATGCAGAGTCATCAAAGTTGCGACAAATTCTCCAGGACGTCCCAGTGCCAATGCAGGCCATAAATGGCGGTTGTGTATAACATTGAACTCGAGTTTAGAGACGGAGAAGGAGTGGCAGGACGAGTGGGGAGAGTCTGGAAGTGAAGCTGGCGCCGCGACATCCTGTCGCCATTGTTCCACTTAAAACGATTGCACTGGCAGCCGGAGGAGGGCGGCGTGTGGGGTCTGGGCACATCAACGTCCATACGGATGAACTTAAGCCGAGTGGTTGTTGATGTTGTTGCCGGGGAGCAGTTTTTTATAAGCCACCCCGCGCCACACCAACACCATCATCGATCCAAGGACAATGCTCGCCCAGGGGGTTGGATGACGCACTTGGGCACCCGAGCTCCAAGCTCCCAGCTCCCAGCTTCTCGACTGACTTTTGGCTCTGACCTAGTTGCTGGCAAACAATTGCGTGGAGTCCGCTCTCGGGAAGCCCCTGTTTCCATGTGTCCATGTTTCCATGCACCCATAACCTTGACACGAGCCGAGGATTGCAGTTGTCAGCAGTGGCCAGGCCATCCAAACCAGCTGCTCTGGCTGGCCAAGAGTACGTTGTCTTGTTGTGTTTTTCCTACCATCAAAGTGGCCCAGACCATAAATGGGCCGTCTGACTGCGGATGTAAGGAGAGGCCATTGGATAAGATAACTGGCTCCGTCTTTGGATCGAGCGTGCCTACCTTAAAGAGCTTTTATCGACCATTGATAGCGAGTTTGAGCCACTTGCGTAATTCCGACAATATCCATCATAACCTTATGGGATGGCCATGATGAAGTTGGCCATGAGTCACGAGTCATTCGAATATTGGTTGTTAGATGACTTGTGAGTGACGTGCCGCATATGGCAAGCAAATTGTTATGGCTAATACATACCAACTTGCGGTTGCACAGCAATTACTCATTCAATTTGCATAAATTCATACCTTTGGTTTTGGAAGACTCACTATGCAAATAGGCAGAGTCATGAAGATTTCCAAAAAGTCTCTTTGACTGATCCTGACTTTATGGCCTGCGCTAATTTACCTAGAACTTAAGACATATCTCTCATATCTAGCATGTTGTTTACCAGTGAATTAACTACTCAGCCTTAGCTACTCGGAAATGGTCTTATGAGATGAGTAAAAAGTTATGTAGTGCAGATGGTATACTTTTAGGAGTTCTTTAATACAGTTTCCCAAATCGATACCTGCTGTGACTAATGGCACACATTTCAAGCAATCTATATAAGTATCTGCAAATACACACTATCGAATCTCCCCTACTTCCTGGTGAAAACTCATTTCCGTTGCAGAACTTCACTCTCATAAACGAGTTCTTTGTACTGCGACCCTTTCGATTGGAAGCAGGAGTTGCTGTGGATGTTGTGTGATTTTTATCAGTTCCAATTAAGTCTGGAACCACTCAGGGATCCAGTCTGATGACTCATTGGTGCACCTTGCCTATACCCACCAGAATGACGCAATGATCTAAACAACACACGCTTCGTAAATCTCTTCAATATCATAAAATGCCTACGGAAACTGACTAAACATTGGGTTATTAAATAGTTGGTTTGGGTTGTTGTTTCCAGGTGGAAACCATTTTAAGACATCAAATAAGTACAGTGCCTGTTCTGACTTTTCAGTGAGCTGTGCAGGATCGCCCATCGACACGGATGCCAAGGATACAAATTATCAGGACGACGAATATGAGTACGGCGACGATGGACTCGATGATGAAATTATCGATGCGACGAAAGAGCAAGCTGAGGAACAAGCGCCGCCGTATTTCGAGGTTATGGACCTGAGGATCGAGGCCAAGCCGGGCGAGGATGTGGTCCTCAACTGCGACGCACGGAACTTCCAGCGTAAGCTATGCCCCACCGATGCCCTGTTTAAACCGAGCTAATAACCCCAACACCCAATCCGTACAGTTAGCAACGCGGTGGTGTGGTACAGAAACCAGATAATCATAGCCAATGGCCAGAATGCCATTGGACAGCGGGTGCAGTGCATGATGAACAACTCGATACTCCTGAGGAACGTGACGCCGGAGGACTCGGACGACTACTATTGCGAAATCCTGCCCCAGAGGGTTCGACAGCACACGGCACTGCGGGTGGGCGCCCGGCTGTCGATCCTCTGCGATGATCGCGATATCACGGATCGATCGCAGACGTTCAGGCAGGGCGACCACCACAAGCTCGAGTGTCGAACCTATCTGCCCGGCAATGCCACCATCAAGTGGTCCTTTAATGTATGTTTTCCTAACCGTACACCCACACCCGCACAATCACTCAGTTCCAATCGCTGGCATCCGCCGTCCATTTTCCCACCCGTACGTTCGTCTTTCAGGATCTGAACGGACAGCCCGCCTCCGTGGACAATCAGAACGGCGTGATCATCCTGGACAATGTGGATGAGAAGAACGCCGGCGACTACCAGTGCCTGGCCGACGATGGCAGTCGCCATCCTCCCCACGGCACCGTGCACATCGATGTCCAGTACAGCCCCATCGTGTCCACCCATCGGCACCACGTGAACACCGAGAAGGGCGCCACCGCCGAGCTGTACTGCAACTATCGAGCGAAGCCCATTGGCAGGAGCTACTTCATCAAGGACGGCAAGACCCTGCAGCTCTCCGACAAGTACTCGCTCAAGGACTCGGTGCACAACGGCCACAATCGCACCACCCTGCTCGTCAGGGAGGTGACCGATGGCGATCTGGGCGAGTACCTGTGCCAGGTGGAGAACGCCATTGGCTCCAACGAGGTGAAGGTGCACGTCAGCTACAATCCGGAGACCCCACAGTTCGAGGACATGACCACCGCAGGCAACAAGGTCATTCTGCACTGGCTGGTCAGGAGTCACCAGCCCCTTTCCGAGGCCATGCTGGACTACCAGCTAACTGGGGTGAGTTGCTCTGAAAATGAGTATGATTGGACTGTCCCAACCGGATCGAATCTTTCCAATTTCAGTCCTACACTTGGAGCACTGTGCTAGTGCTGGAGACACATCGCCACAACAACACCGACAACATCTGGAGGATCACCCACCAACTGGAGCTGAGTCGTGGAGTGTGGCATGCGCGTGTCAAGACGAAGAACACACAGGGATGGTCCCACTTTTCGAACGACTACGTCTTCGAGGTCCCCGACGGCTTCGAGGTCGAGCCAGAAGAAGGTGAGCACGGAGCACCACTGCTAGGTTCCTCACATCCATTGCTTATCATGTCCATTTGACAGAGGTGGAACTGCCCCCGGAAGAGATCGTGCGGGCTGGAATCATGCCCATGAGCAAAGGAGCTGCGTCATCGATGCAGCGGCTGAATGTGGCAGTGATCCTGCTGGGAGCGCTCCTGCTGCGAGTCCGCCTCTAAGGGCTGCCCCCATCCAGGCCGAGATGTGTACATACTTATTTCCGGACTACTCAGCTATCGAGGCATTGAGTACGATAGCGACAACGCACATAAGAACCGAAACTAAAGTATTCTAATTATACAAAATGCTAATGCGCGACCGCTGGCTTGGGTCAATGTTAATGTTATGCTATAGAACACGCTGGAGCGATCACCACTCGCCACTGAAACATTTGTGCCAAGCAAGGAAATAGCTGGAGGAAGGGCGAGGACTACAGTTAATTTAGACTAAAGTTTAGTTAAAGTTAAAGCTACAGAAGCGACTAGGGCGGAGCAACTGCGACGATCGGTTTAACCGAGAAAGCAAACTTTTTGATTAACCTTAGCTATAATATTTATTTGTTTTTCTGTCTGCATGTGCATGCTGGCACTTTTGAGGAGCAGCCCGAACCGATGGAAAACTGGAAAGTTGGAAAATTGGAAAATTTGAAAATTGGGATATGGCAGTACCATACAATCCGCCAAAATCGGTTTAAGTTCTAGTGACTTTTGAGGACATATTTTTGTACACCCAACCGTACTTACAAACATTAGGGTAACTGAAAGGTAACTGAGGGGAGCCAGGGGGCACCTATCGAATGGCACGCTAATTATTTAATAAACTAGACCAAAGCTTAGACATACATATGTGTACCTACCACACACCATACATATGAAACTTATTTTTACGAAACTACGCCACATCAACACTCAAAGGAACAGAACGATTCAAAATATACAAATCAAAAGCAAGAACGCATATGTACCTATGCCTAGGGATACTGATAAGTCGAAGGGAGCCATATACATATAGGTAAAATATACACTGCGTACTGTGTACTGTTGATAATCGGGTTTGGCTTTACCATTGTCCTGGATTCTGCTACCATACCTGAGGAATATCGCCATAACGCTGACCATGTACACTGTGCGTATGCGTAATCAAGTTGTGAGTGCGCGAATATATTTTATATGTGTTTTATTTAAGAATCATAACATTAGAGCTGATCAATAAACGTGCCAATCGAGGCAATCAATCGAAACTGATTGCTCGCTAAATCAAATCAAAACGCCACAAAGTAAAGTTCCATAAGCAAAGTTTTGACGAGGACCTGATTTCAAATGCCGACCTTGAAGCATATACACATATACAGAATCATATATATTATAATATACTTAAAGCCAGTGTCTTACATGAATATTGTAATTTTCGTTGAGTCCGCGATAAGTAAGCAAATAAAGTAAATTTTCTGAAGGCAGTGAGCGATCGTTGGTTAAGTTTACTTTGGTTCCTTTTTATTCAATAAATAGAATTGATTTTGTGTCTTTACAAATACAAAAATTTACAATCAACAAAGACTTCAAATGCTCATATCCTGTGAGTAGAGTGGAGAGTGTAGAAGAGGTGGCATCGTTCCACCAGCGTAATACTAAACTAACTAGTGTGTGCCCATCCCCAGGAGGAGCAACACGATCGAGCCCAGTACAGTGCATCCCAGAAAACTGCTCGCAGTTCCCGCCGCGGATGTGGAGCTCTCCGGGGCAATGGCGTCCAAGGAATGCTCGGCAATGGTAACCTTCGTGTGGACCACGGACTCGGAGGGCAGCACCTTGCAGAGATAGTTGCCAGCCACCTGGGGACTCGCCCTCAGGATGGTCAGGTCGTAGTTGGGGTCCAGTTTGAAGTTGGGCTGCACCACGTTCTTGCCATTGGAAATGACATTATTTCCGAAGTACCACAGGACCACCACGTCCTCTGAGCTGTGCACTGAAAATGCGATGCAATATTAGTTGGTTTCCTCTGGTCACCTCATTTGTTTCACTTACGATCGATGCCCACATCGCACTTGAGCACCACATCCTCGCCACGGATGCCCGTCACACTAAGGGTCTTGTTCACCTTTTCGCTGGAAATGGGAGTGGAGGACTTCGTCTGCGGACTGGGCGCACTCTGGTCTTCTCCTCCGTAGTCGAAGTCATCGTCGGCCTGCATTTGGTAGTCGTCCTGTGAGGATTGTGGGTAGGAGAACACTGAAATGGAGATGGTGCTATTATTAGTTATTGTGAATAATTGCTTAATAAGCTTCTAAGAAATATATATACATATGTATTTTTTAATGAAGATCAAAGAGCTCTTGCGAAAGTGAAAATTCTTCCGTGCTGCATTCCGATGACCCATTAATCGGTGGTAAGTGTGGTAGATTAGCCAGATCGTCTGTAATTATAGCCCATGGCATTGTTTATAGCGGTTGCCCGCGGGGGTCACATCAGCCACCGCAGTTAGTCGGTGGGTTAATTAAAGGAAATTAAATGGAAATCGAAACCAGCGCAGCCTTATGTTTTTGTTGATTTATGCAGCAGTGTGCAGTAGGTCATCATAACGGGCTGTGTTTGTGTTTATCTTTATCGTTTTCATTTTCATTTTCGCAGCTCAAATTCATCAGGGGGTGTAAAGGGGACAGCTGCACCGATGATGGGTTAAATTAAAGGCTGGCAATTCGCATTCACGGGTTCCTTTAGTTTTTCGTTCTCCCACATAATTACCAACAAAAACCCAGGGGCGCAAAAAGGGACTTTTAATTTCTTTGGTACTTTCATAAAGTAAATACATTTTCAATAATTATTTATGATTTTGTATCGTTCGTTTTCCCAAATGTATATTTATGTTCAAGTCTATATATTTGACTATATAATATTTGTTTAAGTAAAAATACCCAACGACCCCTTCGAAAAATCCTGCGTACGCCACTGCATTTTGTGCATGTGTACAAACACATTTGGTGGAAAACATTTCGGTGAAATGGGGTCACATGAAAAACGAAAATTAAAATGAGCGAGTGGAAAGAGAAAACAAGAGTGCCTAACCCAACACTCCCCCTCGTAGTCGTAGTCGCAGTCGCAATCGCTCCGTCCGTCCCCTCGCTTTTCCGCCTTTCCACGCCCCTCCCCCTTGGGCGATCGCCGCACCCACATGTGACGTGCTGACGGAAATCCAAAAACAACTACGGCGGCCAGAAGAACGACTGCTCATTGGGCCACTTTTTGTTTTTCGGTGGTGTCGCCGATGGACACACCGAACTCGAACTGAAAGCATTTCACAACAATGTCCATTTTCATAGTGCCAACTGCAACACGCACACTCTAACAAATGAATGTGCACGGAGAGAAATTCCGACAAGTTGATATATAATAAAATTAATCTGTTACCTAGAAAAATGATTAATTCGTCATTATTTTAGCAAAGTCTCTTAAAAAAAAAAAACTATTTTAAAACTTTGGTTGAGAGTTTCCATATATTTAGATATTTTTAGATATTTTTTTTAAATCATAGCAATCAAAACCACATACTCTAGATCTATGATAACATATATATACCCGCAATTATTTATTTTAAAGTAATGAGACATACACCTCTAGGTAGCTTCCCGTTTTTTGCCGTGCACATAGTAAAACACTGCACACACCCTCAAAAAAAGGGACAATTTGGTTGGGTGATTGTGAAAAGTTTAAATTTACATTTTGTCCATTCGCTTTGGTCGCTCGTTTCTATGAGTATTTTGGCCAGTTTTCCATCGTTTGCTCAGCGTAGCGTGTTAAAACACAAACTTCAATAAAAACAAACAGCAATTCTCACTGGGCCTCCAACTGAAATTCGAATTCCTGCCAAAAACCGATTGCGATGAAATCGAGGCGATCGCTTCCCTGCTTTTCTCGCATTCCCCATAACCTCCTGGTGCCCCATTCCAATTCCACAAAAAATGCACATTCACTCACGCATTCGCTCTTTGTCGTAAACTTAAGCCATAAAAGAAATTTATTCCCGTATTTACATTGAACGAAAAGACACTGAAGCCATCTGAATTTATGTTGCACGCTTCCCGCCCCACAAACCAAAAAAAAAGTAAAAAACAGCCATTGAATCGGGAGATAAGCGTCGAGTAACGAACAACAATTGCAATGAAAGTTTATTTGCAGAAATTGGCTTTCGGGATGTTGATCTGAATCCATCTTTTGTTGACGGGCTTCCGATACACATGTTTCGATAAGGAAGTGAGATTCTTTTTTGGGTCGCAGAAAAAAAATCCGTTGAGAATTACATTTCTTGTAAGAACTTTAAGCCCACAGGAAACAAGACAACATTTATTTATTCTTTTCGCAAAAAAATCACATAAATGGAGAGATAAGCGTCAGGAGGGAAACTGATAAGGTTGCTTGAGTACTAATGCGTTCAATACCAAGGAAGAGGTAGCAAGAGGATGGAGGGATTTACGTAGTGACGAAACACACGATAATTTAGGGTTCCAAGAAGAAGAGGGGAGGATTAAGCCATTAAAGCGGAGCATTTATATTACCATTAATTTGAAAGCCGCCCTTTAACCTCTAATTTCATTTCACATCCTCCCGAAATTATCTTAACCCGGGATTCGTGTTTTTTGTTATCTCCCTAGATAAAAGTTTTCAAGCCCTTGTTTCCCGCCCGTTTTAATTGCTACTCAGAATTAGACCGACAACAATTTATCATAACCATGATTCTAAATAAATGCATTTCAGCTAATAACCCGCGGGCCAAAGGTAAGTCAGCATTAATGCCAGTCACTCCGCCGACCTCTGTATATATGTATATACATTTATGTATATATATATGCATTTCCCCTCTGGCCGGGAATCATTCAAGTGCAGCACTTTTGCTGTTGGTTTTACTACCTGTGATAGGGCACCGAGGAAATTAAGAGCCAGTCGCGCAGGGAGCGAGCTCGCTGATCTTTGATCTCCTTTCCCAGTGTTTTCAGGTTTGTCCAGCCGGGTCTGCCCATGTCCCTCCCCCCTGCACTCGGTGCACTGAGCGCAATTCGGTGGCAGTCTGCGTTACCTTTTTGATATGGCAATGCGATGTTGATACTACATTGTTATGGAAGATTGTAGCCTGAAGTATCTTCATCCCACGCCAGGATGAATTGAATTTGATTGATTTATGCGCAGAGTAAGCTGCATTTTGCGCAGTGCACTACGTGACTGGACAGTCGCAGAAAGCGAGGAGAAAGACCTGGCCAAGGGACGGGCTGCGTTATATGAGCCGAAAATTGTTTGGCCCGTTCCTGTACAGTGTGTATTGGGCATTGTGTGCTGGTGTGTGGCAGATAGAGACATGAGCGAAGCGGATAATGATAATGGCATTCGGGTTCTGTGAAAGCGATCAGGTTACGGCCACGAACCGGGAGGAGAGAACCTCATAAAGTGACTACCTACGCACCGGGCACTTTGGAATTGGCCAGGAGCTGCATTACTTCAGATGGCTGAGGGGTGAGGGGTGGGTGTTAGGGACACAGATGCAGAGGCAGATGTGCATCATTGGACAGATGCCGAATATAGCAAATTATTCGCAAGCGTGTGCCAAGCGATGAAGAAGGGATTGGGCGATGGTCTAGGCCGAAATCCATTTGGCAGCTGCCAAAGTAATCGAGTACTTTAAAACTAAAATATGCAAATATATGCGCGCTTGTACCAATCATTTCGGCCTCCATTATCCAAATCGATTTATTTCAATTTCCATTTGCTTGATCCCCCAGATGGAAGAGCTATGGCATCAAGTGGACGCAATAAATTTCGATTTTCCATGATCCCAACACATCTATGTAGATTCTGGAGGCACTTTCTTTATGCATATGCCTCTCCAAATAGAGAACATTGATTTCACTTAAACGATTTTACATTGCGCCCCCGATCGTCGTAAACAAATTTCTTTCTTTTCATTCTTTCCCCCCTCGAAAAGTACTGGGAAATGTAGTTGCACGTGTCTGTGGCAAGTGCCACGGATTTTGGGTTCCAAATTGTGCGGGCGCACTGCCAACGGAGGCCAAAGACGTCTTTACTATATAGTATGCCATATAGTTGAGGCGCGACTTTGGCTACGCCCAGCGCATACTAAATACAAAGAGCTCTGGGGCAGGGCTCGTGTTTTCCGAGTGGCATCTAATTAATATGCGGCACTCCTTTCTAGTTCTTCCCATAACTAATTCCCCCGCTAACTATTTGGGTTCGCTTCGATTTGGCTTATTTATTGTCATTTGCCAAGAGACCTCTATTCGGACTTGGATCCCTTCAATTGAAATTTTAGCACGCAGACGTAGTTATATTCAAAAATTTGACGCACCAGAACTTCGTGAATGTCTTTAGGAAATTCCTAAGGGCGGCAGAAAACAAAAGAATTTAGTTAGTTTTTGCATACACAATTCGTTGGGCTTTGAATTTCAAAAAACTT